CTGGGTCCCTTATTCTGGTCCTTTGGTGCCTTATGCCAACCTCACCTCCTGATTTAAGTTTTCACTGTTGTATTTATAAGTGGGGTTGCTCATTTGTGTCCAGCTGAATGGAATTCTTATCAAGGTTGTGAGTCACGTCATCTGTTGTTTTTGTGTGTCTGTGTGTGTGTGTGTGTGGGAGGGGTGTCTAATTCTATATGTAATCTCCAGGTAAGAGTCCTTTCTGGCTTGTCTACATCCTCTTATTGTGGAGTCATAGGCTGGGTTGTTCTTAATCAGGTTCCATGCTGTTTGCAGAGTGCCCTGTGAAGTTACTATGGTTGTCATCAACACAACAGCACACTGATCTTTTAGCTTTAACATTTGTAGATACTTCAACAATGAAATTGATCATGAGATCAAATTTTGAACATGTGACTAGTCTGCAAGTATATAATCTCACACTTTATGATCTTAAGAAAATTTCTTCTCTGGAGAGAATGGCACAGCTGAGAGCGACTAGGGATCTGTCCGACATTCTAAGGGCAAGACCGACAAATAATCAAAATGCTTCTGGCACCATGGGAAATGATCAATTTCATTGTTGAAGTATCTATAAATGTTAAAGCTAAAAGATCAGTGTGCTGTTGTGTTGATGACAACCTTAGTAACTTCACAGGGCACTCTGCAAACAGCATGGAACCTGATTAAGAACAACCCAGCCTATGACTCCACAATAAGAGGATGTAGACAAGCCAGAAAGGACTCTTACCTGGAGATTACATATAGAATTAGACACCCCTCCCACACACACACACACACAGACACACAAAAACAACAGATGACGTGACTCACAACCTTGATAAGAATTCAATTCAGCTGGACACAAATGAGCAACCCCACTTATAAATTCAACAGTGAAAACTTAAATCAGGAGGTGAGGTTGGCATAAGGCACCAAAGGACCAGAATAAGGGACCCAGATATGTGAAGATGGACAACATGACACATGAATAGGGGACAGTAAGCCATTTATATAATAGCACACAAAATAAACAACAGTAAATCTGGCACAAATAACAAATCTTAGCCAAAACATTTGACACAAAGACCATATTTATGACTAAAGCTGTTCGCAGTAGAATGAGCACTGTAGAAAATCAGAACAACTATTTCAGTCCCTGTCTAACTTCTTCTCCTTCTTTTTTTTAACTGATTCAAAACCGAAGCAGAATACAGCGCATATATTGAGTTATACTTACATTATACATTTGACCCGACTCCTCTTGTTCCAGCTAGATGTTACACCAACCCACAATGCTCTAATTATTACTTTAACCCCTTCTCTCTCAAATAAAGGACCCTTTTCCCCATCTTAAGGTATATTGGCCATAAAGTAATAGACCTATATTTTTAGGCTAACAGACACTTGGAGGGTGATGCGATCAGCATCACGCTGGTTGTTGCTTCCCAGGACTTCACCTGGTACCCATTTTAATGCGTTTATCTCTCTAGCTGTCAATAATTTTTGTATCTTATTGAAGGTAGTTTTAGCCATTTCTATTAACTTTTTGATTGCATTTTTGAAAGAGTTAATATTACAGCTAGCAAAGGCACAAGAAGCTAGGGAACATATATGATGTAAGGGATCCCTAATAAACACAAAGTCAAATTCTTGGAGCTAAAAGAGTTAAATAACACTGATACAGACAAGGATGAACTAAGAGAGTTCACAGTCAGTAGCTAGATTGAATGTTGAATTAAGAATCGACATCATAGCACTCGGGACCCTCCGTCCCCATCTTCAGCAGCATGAAGAGTTCCAGTTTCGATGGCACTGTCTGATTGATTTTATTTACTTACTGTGGATGAAGACAACTCATTAAAATGAAACTGAATTGTGTCAAACTTGTGTTGTTAGCCAGTCTGCCTGGCTGGTTGCTAGCCATCTTTAAGAACTCCACAAGCAGGAAGATTGATTCCACATTTATAAGCTTCACAAAGTAAATAATTCAATTTCAGTCATTGTGTTCCATCTGCCTTCACTTTATTAATCTTTCTGCACAAAGTAAATAATTCAATTTCAGTCATTGTGTTCCATCTGCCTTCACTTTATTAATCTTTCTGCACAAAGTAAATAATTCGATTTCAATCATTGTGTTTCATCTGCCTTACTTTATTAAACTTTCTTCACAAAGTAAATAATTCAATTTCAATCATTGTGTTTCCTCTGCCTTCACATTATTAATCTTTCTTCACAAAGTAAATAGTTCAGTTTCAGTCATCGTGTTTCCTCAAAGTTGTGTGAACATTTCCTTACCTATATCTGCAGTGTTGTCCTTACCTTTATCCGCAGTGTTGTCCTTACCTTTATCTGCAATTTATCTAGTATAAACTTCACTGTAGAAGTGAATTTAGAAGTAATTATTCTTCAAAGTTGTGTGGACATTTCCTTACCATTCTATGCATGGATGCAGACAACAGTCTGAGCAAAACCAATAGCAAAATAGTGCTAAGTGCACAATACAGCCATCAGAAGTGCTAACACAGGCAGTCTAGCATTAGAAATGCAGTTCATCATCAGTGGAAGCAGAAGTTACAACAGATCAGTAGATGCACACACAATTAATTGTAATACACACCACTATTTCTCTGGCCACAGGCCACTCACCATTTTCTGAATCTGTAAGTTGACAACACAAACCACGTTAGGCACGGTCGAAAAGCAGTATCTCATAAATATCTTTTTCATAATCTTTTTTTTTTTGTTACAGAAAAATATTGAGAAGTTCACAGCCTGTCAAAAGGTACACCCCTTCAATTCACCTGCCAGCTACTGTAGATGAACTGCAACAGATTTCAGATGACCTCAATTACCAGTGCTCAGTAGACCAGGTGCAAGTTATCACAGGTAATTTCTTCATATCATTTGTGGATATATTATTTGAAATTGCTAATACTTTAATAACAAATGTTAAGTAATGGATTAAAAACCTTTGCTCTGTTCATTAAAATAAATCTATAATTTATGAGAAAGAGTTTATTTCATGATGAGAAATCTTGTATTGATTTCCCCATGTGGGTTCTGGGACCCTATTATAGAGAAAACAAGAATAGACCCACTGCCTACCCAAAAACTTGTCGTAAAAGTTGAATAATTGGGAGCTTTCTTTGAAGTTAGAGTGCATCTGCATGAGAGGCAAGGAACCAGCAGTCTGCATACAAATGAGTCCGATCTGTAAAACGAATGCACATGCAACACTCAGGTTCTGGAACAGGACTGCAGTCCAAAAGTGGATAACCAACCAAAACTTTCCGCCTGAGTTTACAGCTGGTGAATGCGAAGAAGAAGAAAAAGATGTATTGATGTATATGTTTTAACTAGGGAAGATGGTTGCATGCAGCTGTTGGCCAGATGCTCTGTGCTACAGCTCTAGTGGCAAGACACAAGATCACTCATATCCAGGGCGAATTTTTCTAGGAAAAGAAAAGGGTGCCAAGCTCACCACAAAATGTCTGTTATAATAGCACTAAAGACATGATGCTTAGAAAAGGTGCCGGTACTCCACACCATTGTGTACATAAAAAAAAAAACAGTGTGTTCCTATCCCATCCTCACAGTTTAAAGAACCAAAATTGCTTTACATCAAATTCCCTGAATGTGTCAGTTTAAATGCAGGTACCTGTTAACTTACATTTGTCGAACAGAAAGACAGCTTGGAAGCAAAGTAGCACAGCATCTCCCAAAATAACTTCACACAGTGGAGATGCTTTAACTGAGTCAAGATCACATGGGAGGGGAAAGCTGAGTTCTTCCATAGGATGAATCTGCTAGACTCTGGGCACATAACTGATAGGAATTGTGCTTTCTGAGTTATTTATTAAACTGAGTAGGCGATTATTAGAATTTGCAGAAGCCATGGCAGTTATGATATGCAGTATCTTGGACTTGCATTAGTAAGATGTACTGTGTAACAAGAGGGAATGTGATTTGTGTATTTCAGTTGAAAGGAATAGGTTTTATACTTCATTATGTGTTGATGTACGTAGTGATGTACCAGTTAAGACACAACCAGATGCCAGTCTATAAATAGTGCAATATGTTGTTTTCTCATTTAAAGTCATAATGGGTGAACATTGTTTTAAATTCAGATTACGCCAGTGGTGGAGGAGCACATTGTAACGGGGATAAGCTTTACCCTAGGATATGAAAATTCAGTCTGAAAACCCAGTGGAAAAGATATAAACCTGATCCTAGGATGAGAAAATGCAATAAAAAAAGTAATGTTAGAGCAGACTGGGCCCCCCCTAACCTTGGCTGGCAACTTGTCTAGAATGAAAGCTCTGAAAGGTGGGCAGAGAGAGCTCAGCTTCTCTGATGCGACATCTTCTGCAGCATGTTTTGTTCCACATGTACGGTTTTTACTTTTCTTTAGGCATAAACAAAACAGGCTAAGAGAAAAGATCGTACTGCATAGGCAACACAAGGTCCCGACGAGACTGCGCAAACTGTTTGCTATGGAGATAAGGGACTTTATGCCTGGCCTTTGCTAGTCACACTCGCTATCACCATGGGCTGTGATGTTCATGTCTGCCTATGACACAGTGTAACACTATTAGTTGGAAACTCTGTGTGTGAGTTCTGGGGTCCTCTTGTAGGAAAACAAGAATAGACCCACAGCTTACCCAAAATCATGTTGTAAGTGTCAACTAATTAGGAGTTTGCTTCAAAGTTGGAGTGCATCTGCCAGAGAGGCAAGGAACCAACAGTCTGCATACATGAATCAGATCTGTAAAATTGATGTGCATGCGACACTGAGGTTCTGGAATATGACTGTCAAGAGTGGGAAAATAAACTACCAGAACTTTCTGCTGGAGTTTACAGCTGGTGAACGCAAAATAAAAGAAGAAGAAGAATTTTGAAACAAAAAGTTGCCAAGTTTTAAAATTGTTTTTATAAATATTAGTCTTATTAATTAAAACTACATTTATTTGTACTCCTGTAATGTTTTTATCACACAGATAGAGTAAATACAACCCTGGATGTCTTAAAGTTACTGGACACAATGTGTGATCCTGTACCTGAGGTCAGGTACCCTCGTACTCCAGGATACCGGCCGAAACCTGAGGACAGATTTGGAAATGCCTGGTATATGATTAACTGTGGATGTGATCAATTAACAGTTTTAAATTCTTTAATTATATAGCTTTTCTGTCGGTTTAATTTTTTCTAACTTACAAACTGCACATTCACCTGTTCATTTTATGAATAGCTAACTAATCTTTATATATGCCTGCTTCTCATCTTTCTCTTTGTTGATGGTCAGTCACTCACTCATTCAGTCAGGTGTCATCTCCACAGTAAAGGTTGACTGCAGTTAATCCCCAGCACTCTTTGTCTCTCCTGGGTGTACACTATTTTATACTGCTACTTTTCCATATTTTTATGTTGTCCTCCTACTTGTATCGCTGAATACCTCCTACTTTCTTGCCTTCCACTTTCCCCAGAATGTGGTTTTCAATAGGAATGTTATATCTTTTGGTCGTAGACGTCTGAAAACAATTATATGTAGACAGTCAATGTTTGTGTGTGTGTGGATATGTTATGAGAAGGAATGAATTCAAGAACTGGGTAGATTGACAGATTGATGGAAAGAGAGCAAGAGAATGGCAAAGGGATAAATACCTGAATAGACTGACCAGATGAATGGGGCAAGACAAAAACAGTGAGCTGATCTGTGATTCTGGTGATCATGGTAGATGGTGAAAAATGACAGCCTACACTTACCGGCATAGCACATGATGATGATACCATTTAATGTAACCACAGTTGTTCACTTGTCTCTTTCAGCAACTCTATTTTTATTGCCAGTCTGAAACATTCTTTCTATACATAGGTATTTTATTAAAGTTTTCCTCTGTCTGCCATTTAAACATTCCAGAATGCACACAATTAACAATAAACTGTCTTCACAACAGGGCATGGCGGTGTGACATAGCTGGAGCACTCTCTGGAAAACTCTTTGGGAAGACAGTTGCCATTAAAGACAACACAGCTGTGGCCGGAGTGCCCATGTCAAATGGAAGCCAACTTCTGGAGGGATATGTACCGGAATATGATGCCTCAGTGGTGACCAGGATACTGGATGCTGGTATGGACTTATCTATTTACAACATAAAACCTAATAAATATGTAAAAGACAAAAATTAACAAATTTGCTGGACAGTCAGGAGCCTCTTCTGGCAGAGGTGAAACATTGCAAGCTAGCTTGGTTCAGACACGTGGTGAGACATTATGCGATTGCACAGAACTTGTGGGGTAGTCGAAGAAGGGGGGGGGGTAGAAGACCCTAGGATGACAACATCAAAAAATGGACAGGACTCAATTCATATGCAGTTGTTCAACAAACAGGAGACAGAGAAAGATAGCAGGTTTTATACAAGGTCCGACAATTAAGTAATGAGGCTATTTCCATAAAATTAAATTAATCAACAGTTGAAGATATAACCTGTATTTTAATCAAAGTTAGCTTCTTGTGCATTGATACAGCAAGTGGCATGATCTAACAAACACTGGAACGACCTCTGTAGTTCTTCTGTTGTTATGGCCCTTAAAGTCAATGTTACAGCCCTTTGGATGTCATCAATATCGTCAAAGAAGCCTCTTTTAATGGCAGCTTTGATTTTGGGAATAGAAAATAGTTACAGGGAGACAAATCCGGTGGAATTGGGTGGATGGTTGAGAACACACACTTGTTTTTGGGCCAAAAAGTCCTGTGCAACTACCACCCTGTGAGCTGGTGCATTTTCATGAAGAAGAAAAAAATTGCCATGTGTTGAATACAAACCGGCAAGCAACTTTTTCTTGCTCAAATCTTCCACTAAAATTTTACTAATAGTCTCTGTATTAACACCAAATTCATCTATCATCATCCTCACAGTCGAAGAATGATTTTCTTGTATCCGTTCTTGGAATTTTGCAATGAGTTCCTCAATACAAACAGAAATTGGGCGTCCAGGTCTAGTTGCATTAGCAATCATTTCCACACCACTTTTGAATCGGGAACACCAGCTGAAAATCTGTACACGAGATAAACAATTATCCCCATAAACTTGTCGCATCTTTAACTGTTGCAATGGCACTTTTTCTGAGTTTTAAACAGAATTTAAGCCCACTTTTTTTTTTGGGCTCCTTGCTGATTACATAACAATGCACCTCTGGTTAACAAAATGGTGGATTGTTTGTTGTCTGCTTATTGGGCAGCGATGAAAAGTTGCCAGATCATTGACGAAGGTTGCGTCTTTGGATTCCATGCTGTGATTCATAGATGGCATTTTTGTCCTAGCCATAATAAATAATAATAATTTAAAATGGTAGGGGCCTCCAGGCTTTATGTATCTTAGAAGGAGGTGGATAAAACACTTGAAGGAATTTTGTTAATTCTGGATTCAGTCGATGGTACCCATTTTAAACTGGGTCAAAGTTAGAATCAGGGTTTAAAAAATCTGACCTGATGCAGATTTGAACCAAAGACATATTCAAATCAGTATATTTAGCCTCTATGCTACCACAGCTTTCCATTATTATGACATAATTAGAAATATTATTATTAATAATAACAAAAATAACAATACAAAGTTTGTACCATGTGTCATTTAAAAAATATATATTTATAACACAAAAGATTGAGCACATGAATGGTTCTTATATCTTGTTCTAATGCTGGGCTGTGGTAATTGGAGAAAGTAAAGTTAAAGTTTCCTTTTTTTTTTTTATTAAATGCTGTTAGGGAGACCTGCCTTTGAATCCTCGGCAAGGTAATAAATAGGTTTTTCTGTCGGGGACAAAAATAAATTCCTAACCTACACGGCCTTTACCTACTGTGCTAGCCATATGGCTGTAAATTCTGGGGTTCAAAGACTACCCTGCCTAGACCTCAAACCTGATGCTGGAAAGGCAGAACAGAACTAGAGAAGAAAAAGAAGCTGTGTATGCTGCAGTTCTCTCACGCAGTAATTGTTCTCCACAGGCGGGAGAATCGTAGGCAAGTCAGCTTGTGATGACTTTTGCTTTGGTGCTATGGGCTTTTCTGCTGTGGATGGCTACATCAGCAATCCTGTGAATCCGAGGCATCGTGTTGGTGGTTCCAGTAGCGGGTCTGCAGTCCTGGTAAGTCTAGTCTACAATGAGCCTGAAGCATTGACCTTAAAATAAATTCTACATAAAATAATTGATGAGCGACCTTATTCTGTTTGTTCTGGCTAGAGTAATTTGTGCGCGCATGCGTGGGTGGGTGGGGAAAAGGGATAAGGTGGAGTGATGTCACAATAAACTTCAGAGGGCATCACTTTACTCTCTGTGGCGGAGTCAACGAAACTTTTATTGTTGTTGGTCAGAGGTAAGAAAAGTAATTATTTTGTTACCCCTTTTGTATTTAACAGTTACTTTCCTTCATATGAAAAAACCCCAAAAAAACAATTACTTTTGCGCAGAAAAATGCCTCTAAATATGAAGAAAAAATCAATTTTTTTAAAAAAGTGACTATGGTCAGTGTTGATGCAATAGCTAGCAAGCTTGCCTGTCTACATGGTTGTCATTGATTTCAGCCCCTGAATTTTTATAAAAACTGACCAGGACTCAAAATGTCTTCTGCTTCTTCTTCTTCTTCTCTTCCCCTAGTTTCTTAGGGTAGAGTTTCTGACAATGCATTTCATTTTAATCGAAATTTCAAAAATGCTTTTTTAAACGGGTTTAGTTGGGGATTTGCATCATTACTGCAGCTGAGTTAAAAATAAAGTTATATTATCTTTTGGTTAACTTTTGTGGGCAGTTGGGGATGTTCTTAGAAGAGACTGACATCATTACTGCAGCTGAGTTAAAAATAATTAGATAGATTATCTTTTATTTGTTAGGACTTTTGTGGGACAGACGGGTTAATGCAGTTGGGGATGTTCTTAGAAGAGACTGGCATCATTACTGCAGCTGAGTTCAAAATAATTAGATAGATTATCTTTTATTTGTTACGACTTTTGTGGGACAAACGGGTTAATGCAGTTGGGGATGTTCTTAGAAGAGACTGGCATCATTACTGCAGCTGAGTTCAAAATAATTAGATAGATTATCTTTTATTTGTTACGACTTTTGTGGGACAAACGGGTTAATGCAGTTGGGGATGTTCTTAGAAGAGACTGGCATCATTACTGCAGCTGAGTTCAAAATAATTAGATAGATTATCTTTTATTTGTTACGACTTTTGTGGGACAAATGGGTTAATGCAGTTGGGGATGTTCTTAGAAGAGACTGGCATCATTACTGCAGCTGAGTTGAAAATAATTAGAAAGATTATCTTTTATTTGTTAGTACTTTTGTGGGACAGACGGATTAATGCAGTTGGGGATGTTCTTAGAAGAGACTGGCATCATTACTGCAGCTGAGTTCAAAATAATTAGAAAGATTATCTTTTATTTGTTAGGACTTTTGTGGGACAGACGGGTTAATGCAGTTGGGGATGTTCTTAGAAGAGACTGGCATCATTACTGCAGCTGAGTTCAAAATAATTAGAAAGATTATCTTTTATTTGTTAGGACTTTTTTGGGACAGACGGGTTAATGCAGTTGGGGATGTTCTTAGAAGAGACTGGCATCATTACTGCAGCTGAGTTCAAAATAATTAGATTATCTTTTATTTGTTACGACTTTTGTGGGACAAACGGGTTAATGCAGTTGGGGATGTTCTTAGAAGAGACTGGCATCATTACTGCAGCTGAGTTCAAAATAATTAGATAGATTATCCTGGCACAAGAACCCGGGAGTCCAGGGCAGTTAAAATAAAATGACATGTTTTGATGAGGATTCAAACATAAGTCTTTTGGGCTGGCAGGTAAGCATTCTGGCCTGTTGCTCCACTGCTGAACCAATAAACACATTATCCATTTTATCAACTATATCAGTGTGTATTAATAGTGAAAAATAAGGCCGCAACGTTTTTTTTTCTTGATTTATTTTTTTGTTCCTATGATAAAGACACTTGTTATTTTATGCTTATTTGTCGAAAGGTGGCAACTGGACAAGTACATCTGGCTATAGGAGCTGATCAGAGTGGTTCTGTTCGAGTCCCAGCAGCATGGACTGGAACTGTTGGCTTGAAACCAACTTATGGCATTGTTCCCTACACAGGGGTTGTATCAGTGGAACCTACCATTGACCATGTTGGACCTATAACTCAAAATGTCACAGACTGTGCCCTGTTTTTAGAGGTGAATTTTATATTTTCATCTTTCATAATGGTGCTAGATTTTTCTGTTTGTTTCATAATTATACCAACAGAGAAACAGACATAACAAAATTGTAACCAAATAGACAAAATGTTAATAGTTTTTTGATGTTGGAAGATTAATTCAGCCTGAATCAGTCTCTGTCTCCCTCCTTTCCTCTTCACTATCTCAGTTTCTGTCTCTCTCCATCCCTCCTCTTTTCTCTCTCTCTCTCATGTTCTCTACCCCTGTCCCGTCTCCTTCACTCTTCCTACACAAACATATGTGCGTGCGGGTGTAAGGGAGTGAGTGAATGGGTGGGCGTGTATGTGTGGTGTGTGTGTGCCCATGCATTTTACCACCCATGCTTTTTTATTTTTTCTTGATATTCATAAAATGCATATTATTATATGATCATCACTTGCTTTATTGATAATATACAGCTGCTGTGTGAAAGGTGGGTGTTTGAAAGGGCTGAATGTAAGACGGGCCTGTGTGCCCAGTTTGTAACCCTTTGAAAATAAAGTTTGTTTGTTCGTTCATTCTCTGTCTGTCTCATTCCTCTTCTTATATGTCTCTCCCTATGTCCTCTTCTTTCTCTACCCTCTTCCTTTTGATTTCTCTCTCTCTCACTCTTCTCTGTTTCTGTCCTTCCTCTTCTGCACCACTGCCTCTGTTTCTCTCCCTTCTTTTCTCTGTTTCTGTACTTCCTCTTCTGTACCCCTGTGTTTGTTTCTCTCCCTCCTCTTCTCTATCTCCTTTCTCTTCTCTACCTGTCTCTGCTGATGTAAGATGGGCCCTAGTGCCCAATTTGTAACCCTTTGAAAATGAAATTCATTTGTTCATTTCCGCCTACCCTTCTCTTTGATGTCTCTGTTGTGCCATTTATGAATATGTATGGCCCTAATATAATAGGAGAAAAAGTGGAACATTTCATTTTAATCAGACAGCTTTATGGAAAGAAAAATTGAAGAAGATAATGAGAGAAAATTCTTGAAACATTTATCAGAGCATGGACATATTTCAGCATGCAACATGATTCATGCATTTTTTTTAGACGAATGCAAAGAATACTGTGAAATGTTAGAAACAATGAGCAAGGCAGTCATCATCTGTACAAATGAATGGGAACTGATTACAGAAATTATACAGAAAGTCTGTGTTTTCTGACATGGTATTCAGAGAAGGAGGGGACTGAAGAACTTGTTGATAATTGGCAAATTGATTTGAAAAAAAGAGAGCAACGTGAAGGCAAGAAAGTCAAATGCTTGGATGTCTTGCGCATGACAAGAATAGTGTCCTGAGTCTTGATTCTGGTGATTGTGTGAGATGGCAAAACATGACCGCCTACGTTAATCAGAATGGGACATGATGATGAGGATTGAACCGGTTTCTGTGTTTTCAGGTCATTGCAGGCAGTGATGGTTTGGATGGCAGACAGGCCGTGAATATTGAAGTACCAGAGTACAGCAGATTGGTAAGAAATACTGGAGCATGATTCTAATTGATAATCCATTATTGATCTGGTTTTGAACACTGACATTTGCCTTCTCGTCATTTGCTTGTAAATGCTGTCCTGGTATTTCACACTCATTTTGAACTACTCTAGCACATCTAGAACTTTTTTTTTTCTTCAAATACTGACCTTGATTCCCAGTTCAACCCAGTCTAAAATGGGTACCAAGTAGTTTCCTGGGTAGTAAAGATGGGTGGCATGATGTTGACTATCGTCATCAGGCAAGTGCTGATTGGTCTATAAAAGTAGCGGTCTAGCCTGTTTAAAAAAATATATATATCAAAGCCTGGAAAAGGGGGGCATTTTATTGTGATCACAAAGAGTGAGCGTCGTTATTTCATATTAATTTTTTTTAAAAGACAGTTACATTTATAAATATTTTCATTATCAGAAAGTTTATTTGTCGGGTCACTTATCAGCTGAAGTATCACTGTACTTACTTAACATGTACCACATTGTGTGTTTCATTCTGATGTCAATATCCTCTGCAGCTGGAGGTTGATATGTCTGGAAAGGTAGTTGGAGTGCTACAGGAAGGGTTTGAGACTTGCACACAGGAAACACAGACAACTGTGAAAGAGTTTCTGGCAACAATTGGGCATGCTGGCTTTGTCATGAAGGATGTCTCAGTACCTCTACATCTCCATGGTATGTTCTAGATCTGCATTGTTTAGTTGAAGCATCATGTACTTACTACATTTTGTTCTTCAGAATTGGGATGTTAACTTTAATTGAATCATCAGATACTTACCACATTTTGTCCTTCAGAATTGGGATGTAACTTTAATTGAAGCATCAAATACTCACCACATTTTGTCCTTCAGAATTGGGATGTAACTTTAATTGAAGCATCAAATACTCACCACATTTTGTCCTTCAGAATTGGGATGTAACTTTAATTGAAGCATCAGATACTCACCACATTTTGTCCTTCAGAATTGGGATGTAACTTTAATTGAAGCATCAAATACCACATTTTGTCCTTCAGAATTGGGATGTAACTTTAATTGAAGCATCAAATACTCACCACATTTTGTCCTTCAGAATTGGGATGTAACTTTAATTGAAGCATCAGATACTTACCACATTTTGTCCTTCAGAATTGGGATGTAGCTTTAATTGAAGCATCAGATACTCACCACATTTTGTCCTTCAGAATTGGGATGTAACTTTAATTGAAGCATCAAATACTCACCACATTTTGTCCTTCAGAATTGGGATGTTAACTTTAATTGAAGCACCAGATACTCACCATTTTATTTATTTTGTCCAGAATTAAGATGTTAACTATTGAGTTGAGTTGAGTCAAGAATTGATATCACAGCACTCGGAGCATTCCCCTGCATGCTCCGTCCTCATCTTCAGCAGCCAGCGCAGAGTTTAAATACTTATGGTATTGGTCACAATATGGTTATATGTCCATCTTGCCTTTCCTCTGTGTAGTGAGCTGGCCAGACCCTCCAGATGCCTCATTCTCTCCAAGCCAAAATAATCTTCTTTTTCTACTGATTCCGTTGCTTGTTCCCAAGGGGCCTCGACCACATCTGCCTTGTCATGTGTCAGTTCACCACCCAGTGGGGCAAATCCAGCCAGTCTGTCTACCTGTTCATTACCCACCACGCCACCATGGCCTGGAGAAAATATCCAAAATATGCTCACTACCCGTGACCTTTCCAGTTAAGCTTGCCACTCTGCTCAAAGCATCCCTGTCTTCACCTTTCTCAGCATGCTTTCAGAATCTGTTACAATTATGACATGTGTATGCATCTTGTTCTCTAGCCACCGGAGAGCTGCAGTTACCACCTCCACCACCATTCTCATGCTAGATGTTGTGGTATTGTAAGCCAGAGTGTCTTGCACTAAAGATTTTCCATTGGCTTTTTCTACGAACCCCCAGGCACTTCGCTTTCCTCTCAACACCAAACCATCACTATAGATAATCGATCACCTAGGCGTGAATTGTCGTGAATCAACTGTTGGACTTCCACCTCTGTAGCACCTGCTGGCCACTCTGCATACCCGGCCCAATGTGATCATAACCCTACACAGGTTAGACTTTCCCGCTGGTACTCTGACCCACTCCTCTCCTCGCCCAATCTTCTCCAGCATGCATACTTGTCTTGTGTCTTCTGCTTGAGACATCCACCATTTTCCCCCTTGCAGACTCTTACCCTTAACTGCAGCCAAAGCTTCATACAGAGGGTGTTCCCTGTCTGCGGCTACTCTGAGGTATGACTTAGCCTGCAGCACCTATTTAGTTTATTTGTTTATATCAGTATTTCTCATTTGATGGTCCACTGTTTTGTTAATCACTTTGCAAGTTTCAGCTACATCATTTATCGATCTTATGCTTGTTCTTCCTCTCACCTTTCCTCCCAGATGTTCTGCTGTAAAACATCTCACATGCAGTTTGATCTGGCTGCATTCTCACTACCTAGCTGAACCATTTCATTCTTTGTCCGTCAGTATTATTCAGACACAGTCTTATTCCAACTTTTTCTCTAATGCTGGTATTCCTAACCCTGTCCCATCTAGTGTTGTTAGTTACCTTAAGGAGACAGCACATTTTACAGGCAGTTATTTTCTTTTCTAGTGCCCTATTCATTAGCATACAGAATTATCTTTTGTTATCATGCCTGATTAATTATATTCTATTACTGTGGTCTTAATGAAGGTCCTATTTTTTTGTTTTCAGCTCTGAGCCTCATCACAGCTGTGACCATGCAGGGAAGCCAAACTATGTTTCAGATGGGCTGTAAGTTGTATGACTCTACAAACTGCTCATATTTTCTACACATATATTCTCCCCATGTCAGTTCCAGGGCCCCATTGGGGGGGGGGGGGGGGGGGGGGGGGGGGGGGGGGGGGGGGGTACCCCCAACAACATGCATGTCATACAAAGTGACTTATTAAGGATGTTTCCTTCAAAGTCAGAGTGCATCTGCCTAAGAGGCAAACAACCAAGTCTGCAAGGTGTGGATAAATTTAAGTGTAGCTTTCAGATGCAGCTTTATTATTTGCTGAACCGCATCTCCGCTGCTTGTAAGTGTGTGTGTGAATGGTCTTTTGCCGTGTGATTGATATTTGATTGATTCTGCACTGCATCATGTTGTCAGCCTGCATTAGGGAAACCTGCTTGGATGACAAGGATTGCCTATGTTCTGTTCAGGCATGGTTGACTAACCACTCACCACTTCTTGTATTCATTATCAACACACATTTTTATGTGTGTGCTAATATGTTCTTTAATGTTACTTGTGTGTTAATATATGTTTTCATGAAACTAAGTATGAGGGCTATCACAAAATTAACCTCCACATTTTACGTTATTTAAAACAAAAAAAAATTGCCATTGTGACACCATTCATTGCTAACTCATTCAGCAGTCCTTTTGTCGACCACATTGTAGTGGAAAAGCAGTTTCACAATTTCAAATCTTTCTACAGAATTTCCACACATGTCTAGTACTAGCTAATAGATCTAATAAAAATATCTGAAATTGTGAAACAGAGCTTTTCCACAACGATTTAGTGGTCAGCTTTTTGAATGAAATCGTCTGTCACACATGAATTTTGTCCTTGTCCACACTCATCATGCACATCTTTATACCCATCTCTCAGTTTCCTGTATCAGTCTCTCGTAGAACTGGGTTTATTTGGTTCTGGTTTAAACAACGGATCAACATCATGGCACAAGAGTAGTAACCCATAAGTGCTTCGTTCTACTTCTAACTCAAGTCTAAGTCCGAAGATTTTCAGTGCAGTGCACGAACTTGGTAGCACCAGCGAGGATCCTGAAATACTTTGAGTAGATTTTAAACTCATAATTTGGCCCCGGGCAGCGCCATTAGGCTACTCTTTTCGATTTCCAACTGCCAAGGTATTTGTGTTATGTACACAGCAATACACACGGGCATACAATATTACTACTCAGAGACGAGGGAAAATTACTAAAAGTCCACATGAAAAAAATTCCAGCCTTTACCGGGGCTTGAACCCGGGACCTCTATTATGCCCAGGATGCATCTTGGGTAAAAGCAATTCAGCAGTCAAGTATTTGTCCTGCTATTTATTTATGAGGGCTACTCCAAAATCAAACTCCGATTGGCTGGTTAGAAAAAGAAAACTCACTCACAATGTTAACACCGTACACATGACACAGCCGATGATGAATCTCAACAGCATTTTGACTTTCTGTTTGAAAAAAACAATCACATCACAAATTTCACAGCTGTTGGGAAAGGCAGTAACAGTGTCCATGTTTAACTGTTTGCCAATCATGAACAACTGAACAAATGCCACTGTATTTTGATGTGTAGTGAGCTAAAAGGCTACTGAACGATGTAAGTAATGAATGGTGTCGCTGTGGCAATTTATTTATTTTTCTCAATTTTTTTTTATTGTAACCAGCCAATTGGAGGTTAATTCTGGAATAGCCCTCATAAATAAATAGCATGACAATTAATTGACTGCTGAATTACTTTTACACGAGTTGTTTGAGGTGCATCCTGGGTATATTATCTTATGACCATATAACAAACAAGAGCTTGGAAGAGCAGATATAACCTCAGTGCACTCTCTCCTCAAGCAGCGACCTCTTTACTGACAGGGCCATGTATCTCAGATGTATTCTCAGTAATTTCCTTTACAGAGATCTAGTCACAGGGAAAAACTAATAGAGATTGTCACTCTTGCATCTGACTATATAGCCACCAGCATCGCTGTTAGACTTCTGCCTAGTAACACAACTCTATAATCCTTCAGGACTGAAAGCGACCTACTGTTACTTGGCTAGCATTGTTGTTGTTTTTTTCTGCCAATCTTGTGACATTTTGTAACTGGATTTTTTATAAATAAAGTAACTTTTTTTTCTTCTTTTGCGTTCACTGGCTGTAAACTCCAGCAGTAATTCTGGTTGTTTATTCACTTCTAGACTTTAGTCTTGTTCCAGAATTTGGGTTTTGCATGCACTTGCATTTTACAGATCTGGCGTACTTTTATGCAGACAGCTAGTTCCTGGTCTCAGGTAGATGTACCCTGACTTTGAAGGATATAACCCTAGTTTTTCCTCCCAGCTGGGACCCGGGTGCGCACACAGGGAATAAATAAAGTAGGAAAATGATTTTAATTGCCAGGGTTGCTGATATATGTGATATTTCTATGCGTCTTTTGTTTATTTCTTAATTAGTACAGTTTCTGAATTGACATCTGAAATGATAATCAAATTTGTTTTTAATTACAGCAAGTGGACAGTTCTTACAGGGGTTTTACCCAACCAGTCTGGAAAAGGCTGTTCGGCAAGGAATACTAGCTTCTTCTGGAATGTTAGCTCCAGGGATCAAATTTTACTCCATGGCTGGAGAGTTTATGACACGCCGCTATGGCAACCACTACTACTGCAAAGCAAGAAACATCACTCTAGAACTGTCATACCAGTATGAAGAAGCGCTGAGACATTGTGATGTCGTTGTCATGCCAACTCTGCCACACAGTGCTACCAACTTTCCACAGGCCAGACACTCTGAAGAAGACTCCCTAAGAGGTAAAATATTGTTGGGAAGATAATTCCAGACTGTGTTACCGTCACTGAGTTGTGTGCCTCTAATTATCATTGGACATCAATATGTCTCTGCTGTTAAGTTGTCGTTGGCACCTTTCTGGCTTTTCAGATGATAATGTTATATTGTGCTCTGAGATGGCATGGGACTGGCAGCCCATGGCGATGGTGAATGTGACTAGCAAAGCCGCCTGCATAAAGAAGAGTCTGCCACAATTATAGCATGTGATTTCAGGACTGTTGTAGCTCTCATCCTGACTGCAATCATTTTTTCCTTTATTCATTCTCTGATTTTCCCCCCTCTGTACAACGTGGTCCATGGCATTTTGTTGTAACGAATCTACCTTAGTACTTGGATCCTTCATATCCACTTGCACACATCTTTATATTGTAGTAGACGCCAAGCTCATCATCTTCTACCAATCTATAATTTACCATAGAGGATGGCCTTAGGAACTCTTCCGTCCTTCATTCTCCGAGTGTGATGGTGACCCTTTTCACTTGTTGACACACCTGGCTTACGGTGCTAGATCTATATTTGTGTTGTTTATAGCACACTCAGTGTATGATATGGTCAGCATCATGCCAGCCACCTGTACTTCCCAGGACATCATCTGGTATGCATTTTAGGCTTGGTTGCCCTGGGAGCCAAGGTCATTTTAGGGACAAGACAATATCTGCCCTGGACACAAATGTAAAACCTAGACCCAGGCAAATATCTAGCCACTACACTAACACATCTCCCGCCTTCACAGTATTTATATTGAAAAAAAAAAAACCGGCATTTATTTTAATGTGTATTTTGTAAAGTTTAATGTAAATATTGTTGTCTTTCCATTCTCAGCATACCTGGAGGAAAGCACAAATCTGCTCACTAACACAGTAGCAGCCAACCTGACTGGACATCCGGCCTTGTCCTTACCCCTGGGCAAGCTGGGAGATGGGAGTACAGACAGTCTCATGATTGTGGGCCGCAAATATGATGAGCTGACAGTACTGCAGGTTGCTAGGGCTTTAGAGAAAATGATTCCTGCCAGGAATTAGATAGAACTGGACACAGAGTAAATTTACATGGCAGCTGCAGAGATGTGGTTTTCTTATTGAAGCGTGGCTGACTCAGCAGTTACAGTGTGGGTTTCTGATGCCCAACACCTAAGATCGATCACCTGTAAAGTGATGGATGTTTTTTCTGCAAGGGGCAAAAATAAACATCCTAATCTGCACTCTCCTTGATGACAGCATCAGCCATGCAGCCTTAAATCCTCAGACTCATGACCTCCTGTCTAAACTGCCCTCACAGGCAGTAAATACAGACAGTAAGACAGACAGATGATAACATCATAGACAGTTTTAAAAAAAAAGTTATAAAGATGTCTTGAAAGAAATTAACTCATGTAGAAACTGATTACATTATAAAGAGACAATCTACATTCCTTGGTCGTGTCATTAGAAAGGAAGCATTGAAGCAGGTCAAGACTGGGAAAGTTGGAGGGGAAGAGAGGCAGAAAGATACTGAGAGAGAAGATGCCAGGCAGTTTGAGATCGTGGCATGGAGGATAAACTGTGTCAATAATGATTAAAAGTACACAGGTCAGAAGGCTGTGGAGAAATGTAACTACCAACGCTGAACATCACTGAATGTAAGAAAGAGGGAAAGAATAAGACAAAGACTTGTATTTTCTTTTTTCATGTTTGCCCTTAATTGATCAGTTGGCAGATTGTGTTGGGGTTTACTGCAGTATCTGTGCTTTTTGACCCAACACATCTGATGGCATCCATCAAACCCTAAATTTGTTGCTTTTTTCATGTTTTTGTTTAGAGGCAGGGAACTGCCTTCCCCCCCTCCCCTAATTTAAGACCTGGGACATGAATAATACAGGTATTGAGGTGACTCAGGAGACCAGAATGCTATGGAGTGTGTTGCGCGGAGCAGGCACATCAAGAAGGGACTGAGAATGGAGGAAAACATGACTACAGAAAGGATGAGAGCTGAGCGTCTGAGAAGAAAAACACAAATGTTGACAACAATGGTCCTGGAAATCCCATGCTAAAATTGTGGAAGACTTCTTAACCTGGGTGGGTCTTTCTAGTCCACACCTGTATAGCACTATCATCTAGAAAGATGCAAAGATTTCAACAAACAAAAAAAAGAAAAAAGCAAAGGACCCTTTTTTGTTGGGCATTGGCCTTATAGTGCCAGGCCCATGTTTTTATAAGAACTACCAGTCTGCATACTAATAAGCCATAGTTTGTAAAATGGCTGTGCACACAAAACTTGAAAAAGACAGAAGTCTAGAAATAGACAAACAAGTAGAACTTTCTGTCCAGAGTATACAGCAGGTCAGTGAAGTAGAAGAAGTGAAAACAGAAATAGCGTCATCGTCGTCAGCACGTGCTCCCCAAATAAAAGCAGGTTGTTGTGTTTCACCATCTGACACTATCTCAAGAATCGCAGATCAGGTCAATGTTCTGGTCTCACCTCATCCATATGGCTGAGTCATCCAGATATTTACCTGTGTGTTTTCTCCTTTGATCTCTTTTCCATCAGTCATGCCAGTCATCACCAAGTTCTGGAGTCCATTCCTTCTTGTAACATGTTAGCAAAACAGACTGTCTACATCTTGTTTGTCTAATCAATTTACTGTTTCCATACGTCTTGAGGATGACTGCCTTGTTTGTTTTTCTTTTATTCCATGATGTTCTCTGCTTTCTTCTTAAAAACCACATCTTCCCTAAATCCTAGGTTGCAAATGTGGGGGTGGGGGTTGAACTGGACAAAAGGTTGAAAAACCATTGCACCAGGCACTGTAGTCTCAAAATATAGTTTTCATTAGTTACTGAGCATCATTTTCTAGTTTTATGAAAGTGCTTTTTTGACTGTATGTATGAGGCTGTTAATTTGTTTATTTCAAATGTAAGTACATTGATTTGTTGATAATGTGTTTGCTTTTTTAATATTAAATTCAATTAGGCATATTGTAAGTAACCATGGAAGTGAGATGTCTGAGAATGGCTGCAGGACTGACCAGACGAGATAATAAAATCAGGAATGAGGTCGTAAGAGACAAAGTCAGCACAAACCAGTTCTGAAAAACATACAAACAGAGCAAATCAAATGGTTTACTCACTTAGCGATAGTGCCGTACCAGAGCAGGCATACACCAAAAAGAGGGAAAAAGACACGATAGTGGGGTAGACCAAAACAATATGAAAAAATAACATCAAAGAAACTCTACATTAGCATGATCTGTCAATGGTTATTATGGCCAGAAGAGCAAGAAGAGAACCTTATATCTTCTTCAACGCCTGAAGTGGCAAAGGAAGAAGTGAAGAAGAAGATTATTATTATTATTTCTGTGGTGGAATCTGAAATTGTTAATGATTAAAAAAAAATGATTAGCCCTCTAAAAATACTGAAGTTCTGCTTCTTCGTCTTCTTTTTCTACTGCATTTGCCCTTAAGAAGGCAGTCGATACCCTCTGTTGTGGTTTACAGCTAGGTTGCAATATCTGCACCTGATGGCCCAACACATTCACTTCTAGTAAAACCCCTAATTAATCGCAGCAGTTTTTTTTCCCCACCCAGAATGAGACTGCTGAATGCACACAGTGAGTGAGTGACGTTCAACACCCACCAAGACCACACAACGAGCAACCGACACCGGGTGACACAAAGTGCCACCATTTGTTTGAGGATCACCCGGACACAGGTCCCAGAAACCTCGTTAAACAAACAATTGTACCCCATATTGGGGCAGAACTATGCACACAGGGAACTGATGAGTGGGAGAAAGGCTACTGTGGTCTCAAACATGATGTAAGGATACTTCCGCTGCATGTTCAAGTGCTGGAGGATGGGTAAGGCGCAACTATGTTGCTCATTTAGCTTTGAGCTCTGAGTATCCACCATATGTTTAAGTGGACAACTGGAAAAGAACACAAGTGGTCTCGAGGCATGGTGTCCACCTCAGATTCAATCGCCGGTACGGGCTGGGATATTTTCACATAGATTTGGACTTCTAGCAATTCCCCCTGGTTTCTGGGTAGTGAGATTGGATGCCCGTTTGCATTGCTGCACATGTAAAAAAAAATCCCTTGACAGTTGGAAATAAAAAAAAAGTTGCCTAACGGCTATGATCGGGCAAAATTTGGAGTTAAAAATCTACCGAACTATTTCGGGATCATTGCTGGTGCTACAGAGCCTGTGCACTGTGCTGGGCTTCTTTGAACTCAGACTAGAGTTAGAAGAACGGAGCACTTGTGGGTTACTACCCGTGTGCCATGATGTTGATCTGTTGTTCAAACCTCAAAATTGGAACTGAACAGAGCAGTGACGTGACACTAATTTATCCTGACAACCATTTGTGAAAGGTAGAGTGAACATGCCTGAGGATGGATGTGTCAGTCAAGGGAAAACCACCACATGGTCATCCTAGTTTTTTGTGAATCAAAGTGGATCAATGAAGGGCTGTATTAGAACATTGCCAGGTAAGGACTGTCATAAGCCTCAAGTGTTTAAGTTCACATGTGAACTGTTTTACTATTGCTGCTGCTACTAATGCTGTAGCAGCAGCAGCTTCATCATCGTCATAATCACTTGCCCCTTAAAAGGATGGTTGGCACATTCTTTTTCTTCTTCTTCACGTTCACCAGCTGTACACTCTGGCAGAAAGTTCTGGTTGCTCGTCCACTACTGAACTGCAATCCTGCTCCAGAACCTGAGTGTTGCGTGTGCATCAGTTTTACAGATTTCATTCTCTTGAATACAGACTGTTGGTTCCTTGCCTCTCCGGCAGATGCACTCCGACTTCAAAGGAAGCTCCCCAATTAGTCGACTCTTACGACATACTTTTGGGGAGGCAGTGGGTCTATTCTTGTTTTCCTTACAATGGGGCCCCGGAACCCACACTGGGGTCCGTTGGCACATTCTATTGTGGATCACCTCTATGATTTTTTCTTCTGTTTTGCCTTTGTGTTCATCGACAATAAACTCCAGTGAAAAGTCCAAGTTGTTTGTCCACTTCTGGACTTTGGTCTAAATCCAGAACATGAGTTTTGCATGCACACAACTTTTACAGACCCAGACCTGCCTAATTTTTTTTAAGCAGGACTGTTGGTTCCCCATCTTTTAGACAGATGCACTCTGAGTTTGAAAGAAGTATGTCAAATCTGAGGCTTTCATCCCAAAACATGAGATTCCAGGGAACCCATGCTTGGAAAGGGCAGTGTATAACTACTACAGAACCTGACCCCCTCCCCCCCCCCTTTTTTTTTACACGCCACCCTCCCCCCGTCCCCACCAAAAATAAATGGAAAAAAAGGGGGGGGGGGTGGTGTTGGTGGAAATCACAAAAATAATTGTAACCCTGATACACTTTCTCACACTAACACTGATTCATTGAAAATGACAATGACGTGTGGTATGTTTCTTGTGTCAGTTGGTAGTGGTGAAGGTTAAAAACGACAGGATTAACTTATTGCATTGGATTTTATCCCATATGGTTCGAGCTCTCTCTGCAGACCGACCATCCATCCACAGAGAGTGCCACACAAAACACGAACTCCATCGCTCCGGGGACGATCCCCAGGGGTCTCCGTCAAAACTGCGCTTGTGAAACGAGCAGACTGCTGGCCTTTCAGGCAGAGCACTCCGACTTCAAAGGGCAAGTCGACTTCAGGCGGAGACAATCGAACCCCACCGAGGCAAGCTCCACGGAGAAATCCTTTTCGATGGTGATGATCCTGTTTTTCCTTACTTTATCTTAACCGAATTACTACGGCATTCAACATGTTTATGGCTGTCTGTCTTTACCATGGCTAGCTCAAGACTGTCTCCATCTGACGGGGTATGTTGCTGACGTCACCAAACCGGGCTAACGATACGTTAAGTTTTCACATAGACAGTCCCTTTTTGTTTCCCGCTGTGTTCCCTGCCATCCCCCACACACATTCTAGGAATAAGCTTGAGAATTAAACATATATATATATATACACACACACAAAATGGGGTCTGTAGAGGGGGCGAAAAAACGAAGTCGGTAGAAT